CTGTGCGCAGAAAAGGGGCGATTGACTAAAATTTTGGGTGTGTGAGCCTCGGTAAGGGCTCAACCGGCGGCAACTTCGTCTTGGCTCGGCCAACAAGCCCACAGAGCTGACAACAGGTTGGGGGAGATGACGACGAATAAGGATCAAAAAAGTTGGAGCAAACAGCTGGGCAAGAACCCCCGATCTTACAGCGCCGCCTACGCGAACAGATTTGTTTCCCTGGTGCTAGCCGTGTGGAAGCTTCAGAAATTCACCTGCTATACAGCTCGCTCCGCCCCTTCCTTGGGTGTAACCGAGCTTTGATCATATTTGAGCAGTATCTAGCAGCCGAATGTGCAAGAAAAAAATCTACCATCTGCTTTTCTACTGCTTTTCTCATCGCGGATACTGTGCTCCCACGTCAGAACCTGGCCAGCCACCGCACATCCTCTTATAAGTCACAGGCAATCAACCGTCCGTGCTGTCAAGGTCAAAAGCTGAACACTACTCCTGCCTATTCTTATCCATTATCAAGTGACGCCTTACATATCGAGATTCTATATCGGCCTGCCTCGACTGTATCCATCATTCAGTCCAACAATTACGACCAAAAGCACACATCAAACAACATGTCCAACATCATCGCACCAACCCCTCAGCGACCCGGCATTTCTTCGGTATCCTCGAGTTCTTCAGTACAGCTGGAAGAAAAGATGAACAACGCGAACATCTCGTCGACATTCACAACACCTGGTAAGTAGAACCAGCTTTTCCGTCGTTTCTGTTGTTTCGCGGAGGAAATTTGCGAATGTCGAAAGTGAGAGGCGCAGGTGGGCTGTTGCGTGGCAGGTCAATCGTCGGGACCGTGATACTGAGGCGGTTGAACTGGGCGTCTCCAAAAAAACGCATTCGAAAGCAAAAGAGCTGGAAGCAGCATCGCATGCCATCAGCGATTGAGAGGTGGAAGAGGATGCGGTGAAGAGTTCGGATGAAAGCTTGTCTTGTCGAATTGATGCTAAAATAACTGGTTGTTTTTACAGCTGCTACTCGACCTCCTTCGCCCCTCGCATCCCCTCTGCCAACATCCCCTCTCGCTTCAGGAAAGCACAAGGTGGCCATTGTCGGTTCAGGATCATGGGGAACTGCTCTCGCCAAGATTGCTGCCGAAAACATTGCTGGCAGGCCAGATGAGTTTGAATCAGAGGTCAGGATGTGGGTTCGGGAGAAGCAGGTAAGTCTGCATCGCATCTCATAATCAGTCGATCGAGCTAAAGGACCAACGGAATTTTAGGTGCATGGGCGAAATTTGACCGAGGTCATCAACACTACTCATATGAATGAACGGTATCTACCTGATATCAAGTTGCCCAAAAACCTGAAAGCAGTCAGCAATTTGAAGAAGGTTGTAGAGGGAGCGAGCCTGATTGTCTTCGTTACGCCGCATCAATTGTGAGCCCCCTGCATATATTCCTGACGTACGCCTGCTCATAATGCGTCCCATTTCGACAGCCTCCACACCGTGTTGTTCGAGTTCAAGGCTCTTGGTGTGATTACACCGGGTGCACGAGCAGTTTCCGCTATCAAGGGTGTCGAAGTTAACGGGACCGATATTTCCACCTTTGCGTCATTGATCGAAAGCAAGCTCGATATTCCATGTTCAGCTCTCTCTGGAGCCAACGTCGCTCTGGAAGTCGCCCGAGAACAGTTCTGTGAGACGACAATAGGATGCCCTACGCACGACGACTCGTTACTCTGGCACGCTGTCTTCAACGCCAAGAAGTTCCAGGTCCAGACAGTCGAGGATGTTTCCGGTGTATCCCTAGCCGGCGCACTCAAGAACGTCGTCGCCCTTGCCGCCGGTTTCGTTGACGGTATGAAATTGGGTGGTAACACCAAAGCCGCCATTATCCGAATCGGTTTGAAGGAAATGGCCGCATTCACAGCAGAATTCTTCCCCGGCTCTCAAGCATCGACATTCACCAACGAAAGTGCCGGTGTCGCCGACTTGATCACCACCTGTACCGGAGGCCGAAACGCAAAGTGTGCCAAGGACTTTATCCGAACGGGTCGACCTTGGGAGGCCATCGAGCGTGACTTGCTCAAGGGTCAGAAGCTCCAGGGTACCGCCACTGCCGAAGAGGTCTACAACTTTCTGGTCACGAGGAAGCGAACACACTCTTACCCACTGTTCGTGCAAACGTACAAGATTGCATTCGAAAACTTGGATCCCGAGCAGTTGTTCGAACTATAAACGGTCAAATCGCATTCGACACACAACAGGCAAGGGGAACACTACCAAGCCCGTGGTCCAGCTAGCCTCCCTCCATTGTAGCCTTAGTCTTCACAACAACATTATCGCTTCTTAGATACGCTATAACTTAGGATAGAGTAAAGAACGACTGTACTACTTCTTGCGGTCAACGTACGCGCTACAACACAAAACTTAATGATCAACGATCAATATACATAGATGTGCATGCCAAACTCGCTCGTGTCAGTTGTTGTGTACTGTGCGGCCGCGCTTGGAATGTTGATGTGTGATATCTGCGCTGCGAAAGCTTGACCCTTGACGCATCCACCATCACGAATTAATAACTCCAGTCCCTATCTCACTTCATTGCTATACACGTCATACACCCCAAAGGCTCTATGTACAGCACGTGTGCCGCTATAACTCGTTGCATTTCCGACGATCGCCTGACTGCCACTTCGCAGGGCCCTATCCGACCGTCCTGGGCAATTTGCGTCCTCCTATCCACAAATTACTGCAGAGGAGCTCCACCCAGCTCAATGCCGTTACTTCTTCCTTCCGTAGGTCGCCTTCCTGCCGAGATCGAACGGAATGTACCGATATTTGATCATGTGCCTGGAGGACGTGATAAGGATTAGCTCTATAGACCTGCGTTGTCGAAGGGAACGAAGAATACTCACTGTATCTGCCTCCTCATGGTCAAGCCAAAGAGGATGAAGAAGTACATCAACAAAATCGGCCAGTAGACGGGCACGTCGAATACTCGAGAGGTGGTGGCGAAGAGCGCGAGCAAGGACGCTTTTGTGGCTGAGAGCCAAAACTTGAATTCTGGAGCGGGACAGTCTTACATCAGTTTCCAACAATGACATGTCGTCGGAAAGGGTGTGCGAACCTGGTAGACGCCGAATAAATGGTCGGAATTCCTCGTCATTGCTTTCAGCTGAGAAACCGTTCATCAAGCCGCTCAGACCTAGTCAAGGAGTTGCGCATCAGCAATCTTCGCATACGGCATGCACAGAGCCTATCCGGGACACGCTTACCTCCTTTCGAGGAGGACGGAGTGTTCGCGCCGGGCAGCCCTGGCGCTCCTTCCTCGACGTCCTCTGCTGCCAAATCCTGTTGAATCGAGGGGTCGAATTTTGGTTGCAAAAAGGCGAGGAAGAGGTTCAGGAGGTAGATGGCGAGGGCATCTGTTGAGACAATAACGTGAGTGTCAGAAGACCCATCAGCCTAAAATTCTCTGTGTGGAATGCTCGATGGGATTTTTCGATAAAAGTACGTACAACAGACTGTTAGTGGCAAAAGGATCAAATTAGTTCATGCTGCGTAGTGAGCTCTTATGCAGGAATTTAGTGACTCACTGATATACCACTGTAACCAATAAGACAACGACAACGACAACGACAACGAGAAGCGGAAGAGGCAGGAATTTCAGTCATCATCCACTCAAAAACATTCGCATCAGCCCTACACCAGCCTCATCCCCTGCAGAAACCAATCTCGCATTGGCTAGTCTTCAAACTCGCAACTTACTCCTTGTCGAATCAGCACAACGGCTATAAAGATCACCAAGACGACACCGGTGAAAATCCATCGCTCAACAGTAAGCGGGGTCGAACGGTCAAGAAGCGTTCGGTATCTGTAATTATTTACGCGACGAAAAGCGTCAGTGCTGGCTAAAAAACAGAGGGAAGACATAATGAAAAAATCCAAAACATGTTGCCGCAGGACGTCGATATCGGGACAAGCGCCGTCTCCAGCAAGGAAAGGCGGCAATATCGGGCGATTGTAAGGAGGATTTGGAATCTTCCATTCCTAATGTTGCACGTGTCCGAATGGCCTGCGATGATCGCCAGGGCAGTGACTCCGGCTGCTCCTCGCCTCCTGCAGCATGTATCAAGACCGCACGTGCCCCGACGACTCGATTCACCGTGTAATCTCGTAGACAATGGGTCAAAAGACCAAGGAAACAAGAAACTCACGCTCGAGACCATTTGTTCCCGCTATCAACAATCAACTGCGCCACATTCTTCTCGCCCTTATCTCCGCCCTGCTGACCCATTCCTGATCCACCCATTGCCATACCTCCGCCATATCCGTTGCCATACAAGTTTGAGCTTGTCGATGCTCCATAACCTCCATAGGCATTCGCAGGGGCGGAAGGAGGCTGCCGAGCAGGGAAACCCGCTCCAGGACCTGTGGCGGGTCGACCAGATGTAGAGCCGGTGCTGGGACCGGCGGAAGCCTCGTCGGACGGGTAGAGGTTGGAGAGTTGCGGGTAGGCTGATGCCGTCGCGGACGAGGATTGCAGGGTTTTTTGAGGGGAGGATTGCGCTTGCTGTCAGGGAAAACGATGGTCAACACTCGATTCCGGATCTGGCACGTCGAGGGACTTGCCATCATGGTGAAAAAACTGCACGACACTTGCTGATCGCAGTATAAACGGAGATGCAGACCGATGAAGTTGATCTAAGCACGGCCAACAAGGAGATGGAATTACATACTTTGCGCTGTACAATTACGCGTGTAGGCCTTGGAGGCAGCTCACGCGTTTGCGGTATTACGTAAGCAGCGGTTCCGTCAACTTGGTCGCATGCCCGAGCCTAGGTATTTGATCCTCAAACGACGTCGTGCACAAGCTTAGGGGCTCAATCTCGGATCGGCCCAGCAATAGATCCGCGGAAGAAGGATGCAGACTATCAGCAACGGTCGAGGAGGGTTTTATTGTTTCTTGAGAACAGGGTGATGATAACTGTCTCCTGTATCAACTGGCCAGATAGGAAAGTGGTCTAATCCGACGGTTTCAAGCGAAAGCTTACGCTCAAAGCGTTAACTCCGTTCCTTCGGGGCCAGCGTTCGAATCGCTGTCTGGTCATATCTTTTTGCCCTGCTCAAGAGCTCCCAAGATGGGGTTTTCCGCGACATTTTCCGTTCACTTTTGTGTCTGCTGCGCCAGTTTCAGTTGGGTGGTCGATTCCATGGCTTTGTGCATGCCAGGCTCGCGCTGAGGGCACACGTGGGCGGGTCCGATTGCTGAAACACAGGTCCAAAGGGGGCAGATTGATTTTGGGCGTTTCGTTTTACTTTTATAGAGTCCATCGCGGTTGCCGGAAAGAAACGGCTGGTTGGCGTATTTTACAATACTACTTTCTAGCCCTGTGTCTGTCATCGTCGACATAGAGGGAAGTCGGCTTTATCACATAGGCTGCGAGTCAGGAGGGGGATGTGGGGCTTGAATATGCCGAGTCACATTGGGTGGGCGTTTGCAGCACATCAAAGTCTGCTTAGCTCAGTGGGAGAGCGACGGTCTGAAGTTACATCTCTTCGTAAGGGGTTTTCTGACTACCGCAGGTCGGGTGTTCAATCCACCCAGCGGACAAACAGTTCTTTTTGTCGTTTTGACGCGATTTGGCCTTCACATCTGGGGTGCAAGGGAGAAATCTCCGCAAAAGTGGTCCTCGACTCCGGTCGTTGTTCGGTTTTTGCGCCGTTTCAAGCTGCGTTGCATCACGGAGTCCGTCGCGGATGCTGCAAAGAACACGATCCCTGAAAACCCGAAATGAAAAACTCAGTTCTCAGTTGTACTTCCTTTTCTTTATGAACTTGTAATTCACCCGATGACTGATCAACTTTCGCTCGCTTGCCCAACAAGCTCTCGACTTCGACCTGACCTAAGGACTAGCTACCCTTGAGCGATTGACTTAACCTATTCCTTGAACGCTAATTGTCATTAAATAGCAACGTATGACAGGAATCTTATTTATTACACGTAGATCTTAGGACATTAGCTCCTGATTCCGCTCTACCGCTCTGACTGATCCTGGCTGTGACAGCTGGCGTTTCAGGTTTTGCTCGGGTGCGCATGGTGATACCTCGGAAGAAGACATCGTCTGCCAAACTGGAGATGGGCGATGATGTAAGATTCGCGCAACGTTGTAACAATCGATAGTATATATATAATATATAACTATCTCTGTAACATTGCAAGATCTTGAAGTGGGATTGTCAGAAAGGATTATGCTTCACGACTATTTGTATCGGATAGGGTAAAACGCTAACTTACTGAATATAATATGCAGACCACTAATAGCCGATCCTATAGTTGTAGTGTTGTCTAGAGCCAACACACAATTTCACGCGTTAGCGTGAAAAATCCTACAAGCCGCGCTTATAGGATTCCCGCAGCTCAATTATAGATTCAGCTCAATTATAATACGTTAACTAGTTACATACGTGAAACGTTTCAAGCATTATCCCCATTCGTAGCCCCGACAGCTTTCTCAAAATATGGAACTATCGACATGGTTATACGAAGGACCACCTCACGAAAGGAAAGCGCATTCTCGGTCGAAATTCAAGCACAATCGTTATCTTCTCCCTCAGCATGGTTCTGGGGATGCGTTCGTGTTGGGCTGGACGGCAGGCACGACAGAGGGACCGAAGGTGGACCTGATTAGGAAGGGAGATGGCCAATACTGTCAGCCACATGTGAGTGAAAGAGTGAAGCGAAAAAGCAACTAACGGAACGGACGACTGAGGCTGCGCGCGGAAGAAGAAAACGCGTTAGTGTTCTGCTCGACTTGGAGGTGTATGATTGCACTGACTTGATCATTGTTGTTCTTTCGTGGCTTGCCAGCATCGCAGCGAGTCTTGCGCGTCTTAGCCTGGGTGGTGGCAGCAGGGAGCTGGGCTACAAGCTCGGTTTCGGTGAGCTTGTTCGCTCGGTATGATTCGTACAGATTTGCTGAAATCTTCTCCCACTCTCTCTTCTCTTTCGCATCATTGCGCTCTGCCACTAGCCGCTCGTCTATCTTTCGACCAGTGCCGAATGTGATAGCCCCGCCATCGGTTCGGACTCGTTTCAGTCCGTGCGTTCGTCGTGTCGTCTGTGCCTGCTGGGTTTCGAGTACGTCCTTGTAGTCCTGCATCAGAACGTCTGCACTCAGAGCGATTCCGACTGACGCTTTCATGACCTTGGAAACAGGGGGGAAAACTCCCTTGTCATTCTGTCTGGGATGTCCAGCTGGTCCACCATTCTACGGAGTCCGCCTGAGCTTGTTGGGGTGCGAAGGGTGTTGAGATCGACGACTTGTCTCTCTGGCGTCGCGGGTCGGTCCGCCTCCTCCCTTGCTTTCTTTCTTGCATCATCGCTCATCTTTTGCAAAACCTTCTGCGGGTTCCAGGGCACAATACCAGCCTCTCGCCAAGCGGAACGTATGGTAGCGTACTTCATCGTCTCCTTACGAATCTTTGGTAGCGCCGCGAAAAAGTCACCTTTATTGAACGACTTCAACCCGAGCGATGTGGCGTTATTTACCGCTTTCCGGTGGAAGAGTTTATAAGGTTGAAACACTTTGAGATCGAGGGGTTGGAGAAGGTGGGTAAGATGGGGAGGCAGCATCACAAGGACTATTTTGTGGTTGGTACAGTACTGGACGAACTCCTCGGTGTCGTGGGAACCGTGTCCATCTATGAGCAGCATTCTGTACTCTCCTCGCTGAGAATTCTTTGTTCGCTTATCAAAATGTTCAATCCAATCAAGCGCAATGATATCGTTGGTGAAACCGGTGTCGCTAGTAGTGAATACCGTGGAAGGTTCTAGATCGTTACGGAAGAAGTTCGATAGATGGCTCTTCGCGGCGAAAATGATGAATGGTGGAATAACTTGACCGGCCGCACTGATTGCTTCGATTATCGTCAAAGACTCCCTGTCCATTTCGCTGGCAAGGTAGTGCTTCTCCTTCTTGTTCGTCGTGAAGGTGATTATCGTTCTATTGCCGCCAATACCGATCCTGAATTCAGCCTCATCCATATTCCATAAATCGCACTCGGCAATCCCATATTTCATCATCTCCTCTTGCAGCCTTCCAAAGTATTCCTCCACCTTACTGGGCTGCTGTGCCAACATCCTTGCTACCTCGACTGGCTTCTGCTTGACCGTCTTCAATTCAGGGTGTCTTTTCAGAAAACGTGCCACCCAGCTCTGCGACAGAGGCACGAGAAGATGTTCCGACGTCACCGCTGTTTTTTTGAGGATGCTGTTCGCTCCAGATGCCAACCTCTCCATGGTCATGTTTCCTCCTACCGCTTCCAGGTTTTTGAGGTATAGTAGCAAAGAGTTCTCTTGGGCCTCCGTCAAACGTTTGTTACTGCCCGGACGATTTTCCTTGGAGTCCATACCCATATAGCGGTTGCGGAAGTTCTGGTAGTTGATCTCGTGTTCACGAGCGATTTTCGCGAGATTCGGTTTTTCGGAAGTCCAAGCCAGCTTACAGGCCTCCTGAATTTTTTCCTCATTACTCTGAGGCTGGTCGGTCATTTGGGGTAGGAAATAGGCTTGCAAGTGTCGTACGGAGCTGGTAAATGATAACGCAGTAATACCTATACCTTTACAACAAAACGAATTATAATTGAGCTGAATCTATAATTGAGCTGCGGGAATCCTATAAGCGCGGCTTGTAGGATTTTTCACGCTAACGCGTGAAATTGTGTGTTGGCTTTAGACAACACTACAACTATAGGATCGGCTAGTAGCGAATCTAGCAAGATTACTCAGTATTATAGTCAGTAAAATCAAGGCGCTGATCAGGATGTTAGGGAGGAAAAGCGTGTTTCAGAAATCATAGAGGCAAAACTTACAAAGTTTCTGGCTGTCTTATATAGACGTCAAATCTGGGTGGCGAGGCCAACCCTGTCCAAGGTCTCCTAAGGAGACCTAGGGCTACAATCTCTTCATGCTACTTCGTTCCGGTTTTAGAAGTGACAAAGTGACAAAATGACAAAAGCATAAAACGACTTGCCAGGCTCGAACCCAACTTCATAACGAAACTAAACTTCCAAATAATACTACACCAAAGGTGGAACTATAGAAGAACTGCACAAGTATGAAGCAATAAGCAAGAGGACAAAAAGGGTAAAGTGTGAAGTACTTGCAATGACGTGTATAGGTGAAATAGTGTCGCGGGCAAGTGGTCTATACTACGTAAGTAGTTAGCACAGCCGTTGTAATGGGTACTTAGCACAAACGATGTACACTTTCTACTTAAGACGATACTTGTATACCGTGGGTGGAAGACGAGGGTAGCTAATCCTGAGAAGTCTTGCACTCAAGGTAGCTTCGGAATTAAAGGCAAATCAAAGGGTGAATCAATAACCATGTAGCTACTTCAAAATACAAGTGGAAAGAGCTGCTATATATATGTTCTGGAAGAGCTACATGCGTAAGGCAAGAGAGCTTCTCCTTGGTAGGAGCGTCCTTGACTCCGTGGTGGCGGAGTGTCCTTAAGTCCTCGGAGAAGGAGTGTTCCTGAGTCCGTATTGGCGGAGTGCCTTTGACTGATTCGTAAAGGAGTGGTTGCTGTCAAGTGCCATGACTAATCTACTAAGGCGAGCGGAGAGCAAGAGTGATGAGGACAGTGATGTCATTATCGATTATATGCTAACAACTGAACCATATCTCTACAAATACTATTAGGAGCAGCTATCGTAAGGTTCAGTAAGAGTCGTTTCTCTACATTCGCCGCCGCCTTCTTGTTTCCGTTCGAAAATTCCTGCGCTCCTACATCAGCTTGCCTTCCGACGACATCATCAACGAGCGCATTGAGTTGTTGGTCTTCTTGTTCTTGATGCAGAAGTTGCGTGGCGTTAGGTAGGAACTCCTCTTCGCTATCGTTGCCGGAGACGACAAATGAGACATGTTTGCGGGTTCGAGCGGAAGTTCGAGGTGCGGCGCGGGATGTCGCGGGCAAGTGATCTATCTAAGCTAGAGTTCAGATAGCACTACCGTTGTAAAGGGATCTAGCACAAGTTATAATATTCGAGTTACTTAGAGACGATACTTGTATAAACAGTGAGTGAAAGACAAGGGTAGCTAAT